GAGAGCTGCTGGAGGCATCAGGAAGCAGAGCAGGTGCACCCTCCTCAAGTTACTCAGAATCTACAGAGAGAAAACTTTGAGCAAGTTTTAGAGTTTCTCGCAGTCTTTGTCATTTCTGTGACTGTGTGCTCTTCATGCCTCTGCTTTCCTCTTTCCCTATGTCCCGCCTGTCCTCTACCCCTCTTTTTGTGATTCCTGAGCTTTCCATCCTCTCAGCTCGCTGGGTGATCTGTCCTTGCAGGACAGACGGACAAAGACGTAAGTGCCACGTGCAGGTCCTGGCTCGTTATTGTCGCTGTTGGCCAAGTGAGCAGAGCCGTAGCTTGGCGGGCACGTCTGTTTACATCTCTGTGTGAAATGCAATTCCTGCAGAAGGATCATGCGTGGCTGCTGGCGCCTGGCTAGCTGTGTCATGGTCTTCAGCCACTTCTGGGGTGGCTTTATAGCTCTGAGAAGGAGCACGGTGGCAGCTGTTAACTCTGCTCACAGTAACAGCATCCACACACACAGGCACCTCACACTGAAATCAGGGCAGCCTAAATAATTGATTTCTGAGGCAGAAGGCAGCATGTCATACAGAGGGGATGAGGTGGTGTGGAGTAAGCAGGAGGTGGCAGTGAGGATGAGTTGAAGAGAGAGGGATGGGTGGTGACACTGGAATTTGGAGGTGAAACACCAGCAGTGACCACAATAACGTGTCACCCTGTACTGATGTGTGCAGTGGCAATGTTTGGGCCCCCCTCATGTGAAATGCTGTACAAATACCTATTCAGAAGTGTATAAATGAATGTTCATTCTTTCCTTCTTCCTAATGAATGGTGATGAATGATATTTACCTTTTTACCTGAGTTTTCTGTAGAAACATGTATTAAAGTTCCTTTATTTAAATGATTCCTTACAAATACCCTCAGGAAGCTATTTTAAGTGCTGCTGATGTCATACAGTGCTAAGATTTGAGCATGGTGGTTTAAGAGGGGCAAAGGAACTGTATTTTGATGCTCCTTGAGGGCTCCTTCCAGCTCAGGATGTTACATGATTCTGGACATTCTAAGAAAGGAACTAATCTTTCTCCCATTACATCTAACTAAAAGTTCAGTAAAGTAACTGAAAATTTTGTTGATGTCAGTAGCATTTGACCAGTCCTGTAGTGTTCCAGCTATTTTTTATTTATTTGTCAGGCAAAGATTTTAAGCACAGACACAAGGAAGTAATTCAAGGAGCGGCATGCATTGCTGGCTAATGATCTAATAGTTTGAAAATGCTTTATCTCCCTAGCTGCTAATTTTAAGTTTTATTGTGAAAGAGAAACTAAGAAAAAACCCCCAACCAGTTACTGTTTGTTCCTTTGCAGTTTTTATCTGTGTATTTTATGTTACTCCTTGTGATATGTTTTTGGGAAATGTTGCTGCATGCTTTGGGAGAAAATTGCATTTTTTCAGGGAAAAATGGGCCACACTTTAGCCCATTTATTGAGTTCATTATGCACGTTGTAAAACCCCTTTACTGGTAATTATTCCATAAACAGTGAGTTCAGCTCTGCTCCGTTTCCTCAACATCTGACTGTAGAAAGGAACTAAAGAAAAAGTCTCAAAGCGGGTATGAAGAAGCCCAGCTTGGGAGATCAGGTATAAAGAGCCTCATTCATTTTGGTTTATCTGTAGTACAGGGATATGCCCTTACCCCATGAATCATCTCCTGACATCTGTTTGCAGCGCTGTTTTCTTAGCAACTGCAGCTCTGTTTTAGATCTGGGCTCTCAATGGCCGGGTTTGTGCCGAAAGATGCGAAGAGACAATCCAGGCTCTTCCTAGTGAAGTTGTGCCTTTCAGCCCATTTAGCCAATTTATTTTCTTCCCTGAGGCACAATAAATACCGGTTTTAAAAGTCTACCAGCTGAGAGGCTTTTTCTGTGTCAGTGCAGAGATGCTTATCTATTGCTTACCACAACTGAAGTGTTTCCCCAACAGGATCTGGCGGCGTGGGAGAGGATGGCCATGGGCTGTGTGTGCACCACGCTTGCTCTACCTTTCCTGCAGGTTTTTTTTGAGCTGTTGTGGTACTTGTAGATGTGGGAGAGGACGTGGTCTTGAAGGAATGCTCCCAGTGATGGCAAGGACCCACTCCTAGCAACGTGCCTGTTTGGACAAGTAGTTGGATTAGGCAGTGGGATTATACGCAATGTGGAGTGTGGAGCACTGCATGAGTAACGCTTTGGGATGGATCCATAAGCTGTGATTAAAGAGAAGGTGACATTTCATACACCTCTCACCTAATCTTTCCTTGCTGGAATTTCATGCCTGGATCACTTGGGTGGGGGACTCCTGTAACTGAGGCAGAGAGCAGATTGTGATTTTGCTATTTTTGCTGTCTAGAGGAGGGATCAAAACCTCACTTGGGTCAGAGGGAGTTTTTTACTTCAGCTGGTGTGGGTGAATTGGTCAGGAATGTAAATGTTTGGGAGTACAAGTGGTATATCCGTCTTAAGGGACAGACAGTGTTCAGTCTTTGTGCCGACATGCAGTTCCTGCAGGAGGAGCAGGAGTTTATACCTGCAGTAGAACCTATAGCTGCTGAACTGTGAATCATAAAATACAGTGCATGTTGTCCCATAGGACATGAATTTAATTGCCTTACCCTTCCTGGACTGACTTGCATCCCGCAGAGCATGAAGGGTGCCAGTAGCAAGTAGTCCTGTGAAAGATGAATATAATTTGGCCTGGGATAATGCTGAGAGCGGAGAGACCCCTCATGCTTGGAGCACTTTCCTTGCAAAAGGATTGCAGAGTGGAGATGGAAAGACTAAATACTGTTGCTGAATACTGGCCAGCTTCCTGCCACCTTCATGGGTCACACACGGCTCCTGGTGTTGGTGAGGGTACAAAGAAGACCACCTCTGTAGATCACCTAAACTACAGTACTCAGAGCAGGAGATGGAACAGTCTGCTTCTGTGGAGATGCAGAGGGACCAGGACAGGGACAGAAGAGAGATGAGGCTGGCTAAAACTTCTGTTTAGCCCAGCTTGTGTGCACAGCAGAAAGCTGTGTGAGGGAAAGGGCTCGTGTAGAACGGGCTGTTATCTCCCCACAGGCAGGGAAACTGGATGGAGCTTTGACTCCAGGCATAACTTTGGTAGGGGAGGCATGTTTGCTTTCTAACCTTCCTGCAGCGTGCTGATAACTCCCTGTACAATGCAGCTGCACAGATTGGCTCGAGAGCTTTTCAAGGAACTGCTGACCCTGGTACAAGCAATACTGTTTGTGACCAGGGATGAGGAAGAAGAGAAAAGAAAGGCTTTAGTTATCTGAGCATTAAGAACTTAGGCTGCAAGTTCTATCAAAGGAAATGACAAGTAAGAGGGAAAACAAAGCCCTTGTAATAACTTTCATGGAAGTGTAGGGAGGAGGCAGAAATGTGGGGTTTATAGGAAAAAGTTCTGCTTTTTGAGTCTTCAGTCCTGTTGGCTTCCAGGAGAAAAACCAGGAGTTGATGAATGGTGGAGCAAAAGGGTTAAGGAGAGAGAGGAAGGAATACACTGGACACCCTTTGGTCTGTGACACACGGCTTGTGTATATCCATCCATGAAGTGGTTGTAGAGACACTAGAGAAATGGGTTCTCTTCAATTTCCATTAGAGACCTCTGTGTTATGTGGGTTTTGTTATTAATAACCACTTACCTAAGTGATGCAGGGAAAGGAGTGAAAGCTGACTTACAAGAAGCATGTCCAGTTTCTTGGAGGCTCTTGAATTGTGAGCAATGTGCAGCTCCACTTGCAGGAATATTTGATGAAATATTCAAGTTCAATAACTGAATGAAATTCTCCTAACAAAGCCAAGCCCAAGGGTGAAAGTGGTTGTTTATCATCTAGTTACAAGGTGTTTCTGGGGAAGGAAAGCACAGAACACTTGGAGGGTGTTCTCACTTCAGTGTAACCTGAGGGGTGCTGCTTTGTTTCCTTCCTTTCCCCCATCTTAAATATTTGGCAGTTCATCTTGCCAAACTGTATAACATAACTATCTGCACCAGAGGCAGTTCTCCAGACTCCTTTCATAGTCACTGGAGAGGAGCACATGCTTTTGAGCCATGATTCATCCACGCTTGAGTTGGACATCTAAAAATACATTGGACAAACTGCCCTAAAAGTGCCTGTTCCTCTCCATTGTTTCTGCTGAGCTCAAACAATGAGCACTTACAGAGGTAGGGCTGCTGTGGCTGTTCAGTGTCAGGAGAGCTGAATCTCGGCCAAAGTGCCTCCTGTCCCAGCAGAGCGTCTAGGAGGGCTCCGAGTGTCCTCATTTCCACCAGACTCAGCGCTGGTTGTGCAGTGTAAGGCATTTGGCTGTACCTGAGCCTGGCGAGCAGACAGCGACATCCAGTTTAAATCCACCCTTCGCCCCTGGTCAGTCGCTGGACTCAGACAAGCTTGGGGCTGGACCCGACAATCTGCTGTAAATAAGAGGCCGAAGGGGATTTGCAGAGTGGCGTTTTCAAGGTCGCACGTCAGGTTAGTGGCAGAGGTGGAAGCAGTGAGGATGCTGTGGGCTCCCAGGGCTGTGCTCCTTCCCCTGCCTTGCAATCTGCTACGCTCCTGGGGCAAGGCTGGCACTGGCTCTCACTGGTGGACAGCACCCGGTAGGTACTTGCTTCATTTGGCTGGAAACCTTTTGCAAAATTACATAGGATCACCCTCCTTTCCCTGTCCTTTCTCTTGCAAAAATCCATAGTTCAAGCACGATGCTGAAGTGTTGCTGCTGTGGGTGACTGTGTGTGTGCTCTCAGTCACAAGCACCTAAACCTTGGGTGTAAATGTGCAACAGTTCAGTCTTGTTGTGGCCCAGGACAGCAGGTGTGGCTGTTCCCTGGTGGTTGGGTGATGTGTGGAAACTCTTTAAACAGACACATCCACAGTGTGCAATAGATATATCTAAATGCAAACCTCAGGGAGGCATGCCCTGGTCACCTCTGAGGTGTTGCTGTCACCATTGTTATTTAGCAGTCTGGAAAATAAATCACCAGCTCTTGTAGCAAAAGCATATCTGTGCTGGTAAGCCAGGTAGGCTAAGGATAAAATTCCTCCTGTGTGGAGAACTAGTTCACAGTAGAAAGACTTCTTTTGCTAAATGAGCTAAATGTCGAGGGAGAGACTTTGCTGAAGAAATTTGCTTGTGTGGCAGAGATATGAAGCACAGGCAGGTACTTAATGTTAAATAGATCCTGTGCATGTCTGATTCTAGACAAATACCAGACTATTCTGTCTTTCTTGATACATGAGAAAGAATATGATAGCCATGAAATAGAAAGAACTAGTTGTCTGAGCCAGAATTTGATTCCTGAAGTTCTTCTTAGGGGGTCTGTGGGTGAACTCCAGGAGGTGAAACAGATTGCAATTTGACCCCGGAGAGAACAACTGGGGAGAGGAGGGAAAGCAAATTATTAAATAAGAGCTGGGAGAAAAGCCAGCCACCAAAAATAAACTTTGAAGATCAATTCCAGGTATTTCCTGGCATTGTCATCCTGCTTCTTCAGCAGCTCAGACTGTAACAACCGGTTTCACAGTTAGCAGGGTGACAGGTTTAGGATTGTTTGGTGGGTTTTTTGTTGTTTTTTTTTTTTAAAGGAAAAGACTGTGTGGTAAACTGTTTGCAGTGTTGTTTCTTATGCAAAACTGGGTGGAATGTTGGTGACGAAATACCCCTGGGATGGAGAAAGCAGAGCTTGTTATTGTAAGAGGGAAACAAGAGCAGGACCGGCTTCGTTTTGAAGAAGTGAAAAGTCTGGATTTTCTTCCTACATGTTCAGGTCTCAGGAGTTCCTGAGGGGGTGGAAGTGGATATCTATGCAATTTGGTGTGAGCAAACAGTGTTCCTGCAGAGCAATTGTGCTTTCCTGGTGCTGTAGGTAGCCTTGGAATGGCTTTACGGATAATGCTGGTGAGTGAAGGCATCACCTTTGCAAAGCTCAGAGGTGACTCTGAACGTGTTTCTTCTTGCAAAAATTCTGCCAGAAGCCGGTCCAGGAGTTCACTATACTGAAAGCCAGTGTATAGATTGTGAGGAAATTGAAGCATATCCTGTTCCAAGGGCTTGTGTTGGTGATCACACGCCATCTCCCTGCTGGGGTTTTGTTCTGGGTGAGAGGTGTGTCCCTAAAAACTGTACAGAGACACAGCCTCGGTGGGCTGGAGTTGGCTCGGGCTGGAGTTGGCTCATGTCTTACCTCACCTGCTTGGCCCCAGCCGTGCTGCCTGGCCCGGGACAGGAGGGTGCAGCAGCTCTGCTTACGCAACACAGCCTCTGGTGCTTGACTGGACTTGTCTGTAATAACTTTTGTGTCAGTAATGCTGGTGCCTTTCAGCGAGGGAGATGCACGGGGCTCACGGGCATCTCTCCTGGTTTGTCTGCATTGTCAGAAATCCTGATTCTCAAAGAAAGCAGCCTGGACACCCCCTGATTCGGACTTGGATGGGAAAACTGTTGTCACCCTGAGTGTGCAGAAGTGGAATGCATGATATAAGTAAGGCATTCTTTAATCTGGGCTTTTGCTAATTTGGAAATTCTAATTGGCTTTGCAATTGCACCCGTATTTTATTTTTTAATTTTCTATAGCCAGAACACTTTATTCTAGCAGTTTACTGTGCAACACCAAGTTCTTTCTCTTGGGTTGTTCTATGAGCCCTTTGGCTGTTTGGTCTTCTCTGGCATCAGCACTGGCAGGTGTAACACTGTTTGGCCAGGTTTTCACCACACACAAAAAGTTACTCTACAAGCTTGAAGCAAAATGCTATAAATCAGAGATTTAAGCTTGTGGAGTTTTTTCTCTCACCTAAAGCAACTAATTCTTTAAAAGCAAAGACAAAGATACTTGATTTGTCTTAAGTAGCAAAGGAAAGTGCTTTTCTTAGTGGAGAAGGTCCTGCACTGTCAGTGTCGAGGGTCCCCTTTCGTATGTGCAGAACCAGCACAGGCATGTGAGCGTGCAGGCTGTGCTTGTAGAAAGGCTGCTCTGCCCACAGACCTTGAAGTACGTGGGACAGAAGGCATAGAACAAACAAACAAGACCCTGAACTGGCGCTTTGAAGGGAATTTTCAGCTGGAAGAATTATAGGGACATGAAAAACTCATTGTTTGGAGAGGCAGACCCTCCAAGTCAGAGGAGAGGTGTGCTGGGGAAGCATAGTAGCCTTGATTGGACATGCTTGAGAAAGAAGCTGATGAATTCACAGCTGCCAGGCTAGGACCTATCATTTAAATTGTAATTTGCCCTTCAAATTTGGCAAGCTTCGTTTTCCATTTGCTTGACAAATCTCTCTTTTGTGTTTTCCGTCTGCCCGCGTAGAGCAGTGAGCACTGCTGGGGAGAGCTACTTGCAGTAGATTCCTTTTCTCTGCTATATTTAGTGGTCACAACAAGTTTGTGATCCTTGCAGGAATAGTGCCAAAGCAGATGGGTTTAGCTTGAGACATGCCCTTTCTCTTTTGGCTCCCAAATCCACGGTGCAGTTCACTTTCCTCCCCTTTCCCAGCACCGTCAATGGCTCTGTCTGCCAGGTCTGTTGTGCAAACAGTGCTCTGCTGCTTCCAGGGATTCTGCTCAGTCAGAACAAGTCTCTGCTTTAGTGGAAACTCCTATGTTCGGATTGCCACTATCTCTAGTGGCTTTCTCTTTTCCTAACTTCCTGTAAGAGCAGATTACTGTTCTTCACGAAGGTCATTCTGAACAGTGTTATGATTTAATTTAGAAACTCCAGGCCTTTTATTGCTTGGGAGAGCTTTGTTCAACAGAATAATGTGTTTCCTTTATTTGGGGAAAAAGGGAATTGAGAAGGCAATGGGAAGGAAACATTTGTATTCCTTCAAAGGCCGACTATTACTAGGAGCCTGTTTCTCATTAATACCATGCCATTGATGGCAAGCAGGTGTAGTTGTTATATATTGCTGTTTTAAATACCTTTACCATGTAAAGTGGTTCCAGTGTGCTTGCGAGTCTGTATTAAAACACTGACTTTCAGTGGCAATCCAAGGGAGGGAAAGAAACGCTTGTACAAGAACAGCTTGTTGAAGTGCTCTCGCTTGGTTGGCGTAGGCAGTATGGTCCAGTTTGTTCCGATCAGGGAGCTGGAACTCTCTCTGCTTGCAGGCCGTTCGTGTCCTTTGACTGCTGTACAGTGTGGCAGTGTGACCTGGGGCCAGGCAGCCGAGGAGGGGCTGTGTGCAGTTCAGCACAGCCGAAGGTCAGAGGTCTGTCTGCGCCCTGCGGCGCCGGCACTGCTGGCCATGCTGTGCCCTTTCCCCTTCCACAGCGTTCCGGGCACAGCGTGGCTGCTCCGTGCTGTGCCTGGCTACAGCCTGAGCCTGAGCCCAGCTAGCCGGGGCAGGTGGCCAGGTAGGGCTGTGTGTCGTGGGAAAAGGGAGGAAGGCTCGTAGGAGTGGAATGACAGCGATTGTCTTGCTGCCTGCTTTCCTAGTTAACCCGGCGCGTAGGAGGAGGTCGTGTTTTTGTGCTGGATGCAATTCCCAGGTACAGCGTGGATCCGGAGCCAGCCCATGTTTCTCTTGTTGTTTTTGTGATAACCCTTCCCTGCTGCCCCGTTATCTGTGGGAAGCGGCCTTGGGGCTGCTCTGGCTGGCGGGGGAGTGCGAGAACAACCCCTGCTCTGGAAAGGCTTTTCCATTCTGGCCTCACAGCAGCAGATGACATGGCTTTTGGGACATCACTGGAGGCTTCTGGGCATTGCACAGGTGGTTTTGGGCAAGGATGTGCTCATGGGCTTTGTGCTTTGGCGATTGAATTGTCTCCCAAGCCCTTGATGTTGGTGGAGGCAAGAAGTCACCATGGTGTTTTTGGCATCCTGCACAGCAGTGAAGCCTGGGGTGATCGAGGTGCATGGCATCAGGCTCCCGAGCCTCCAGGCATTCAACACTCCTCTTTTTTACTGTGATTTTAAATCCTGAGCAGTTCTTGTGTTTATTAACAATATGGAAAATCTTGGAAACCAGTTGAAAGCTGATTTGTTTCTGCAGTTTTCGTCAGTGTGCTTTGGCACTGCCTTCCCGCTTGGGAACAGATAAATGTGAGATAGGCTCTTATTCTGAGGGCAAGTAATTGTATCGTGCACCTCTATGGTCAACCTTTGTAAGTGTGTGAACAAGGCTTAGCTCTGTTAATAAAAGCATTTCTCTGTGTGTGTGTTAACATCAGCATGGAGTTAGTGCAGTTTTCAAACTGTGTAATTGTACCAGGATGACTGATATATTACTACCCCCCAAAAAGAGAAAAGGTCAAGAAAGACACTTAGCTAACAGTGTTTTAAAATTGATTAACACAATGAGAAGATACATTGTACTTCTGTAACAGGAAGTGTTACTGATGTGTAAATCAAAGACAAACCAGCAACATTTGCTGGCCTTAAAAATGGTATGGCTTTTGTATACTCATGTGCTTCTCCTGGCTGGTTTTCAAAAACTATAAATAGATCACTGGGAAGTCCCTGGATAACAAAAATGTACTGCTGCTGCTTGTCATAAATAAACTTTTAAAGTTGCCTTGGTCTTGCAGCTCTTCTTTGGAGGAGTCCTTACTTGTCATTCCAGAGCATCAGGTGACATGAGATAAGATCATTTCTGTGGCAGTGGGGTGCAGCTTCATGTCCAGCTCTGAATCTCCTGAAGATCTTATGTTCTCTGGGCTTGGTGTCTTGCAGATCTCTCTAATGCTCTCTTGGCTTGGTTCTACCTGACCAGAGTTGTTCAGTCTTTTCCAAGCTTTTCTCTTTTCAATTCCTTCATCTCCAGCTGCTGATAGCATAGGAGTACCCAAATCCAGGCTTATTTCAACTTCATCTCAGGCAGTGCAGAGTCTCTCTGATGCCACATGCACTGATGCCACTTATTAAAAGACTGGCTCATACCCATCTGACTGCTGTTGGGTATTATGTAGGATCAGGAGGCTATAGCCTCTTTTCTGTATCACCTTCAAAGGAATGGAAACCTAATGGAAGTACTTTTCTTCCTCCAGGGAAGCATACTGGATGATGACAAATAATTTTTTTTCCTGCCAAACACAGAGAAGTTCTCAGTTCCTCAAGAGGGGAAGTCAAGGTAGATCTGTCAATGATGCTGTCTTGATTTTTGCCTCCTGAGGATCTGGCTTTGAAGGGAGGGGGATCAGCATGTTTTCTGTGTGATCACATTCCAGCTGGGAGCATGATGCAATCTGAGATGGCCCAGAGGAATGATGTTGGCAAGTGCTTTAAAGGTGGAAGGGATGAAATTCAGTTTGGAATAGGATCTTAAAAAATAAAAAAAAAGTGGTTAAATGCAAAGATGATAGAAAATGCATCCTTTAAACAGACCTTTCTCCCCACCACTGAGTGAAAACATGGTGAAACCATTGTAAGTGAAGCCTTGTGGAGAAAGTAGAACCATCAGACTGAAGTGCTGTGTGAACTTCTCAGGCTTAACAGAGGTGTGACTACATCAGAAGTAATGGGAAAAGAAAATACTAGGAAAGAATGAAAACCAAACCAACTTGGTGTGGGGTTTCCTGTGATAATTATTTAGGTCATGAGGTCATGATTTGGATGCCAACAATTTGCCTTTAGGGAGGCTCTGTCAAAATTACAGAAAGACAGCTTACCAAAAAAAAAGGTGGCTCAGTAGCACTTTGCAAGGCTCAGGACTCACACCTCCGAATGTTGCTTCTTTCTGAATCTAAAATAAACAGAGATCTTTGTTAATAGCCAAAAAGGAAAGGCTCTTCAGCTGGTCAGCATTGTGGAGCTCTACTTCCTTTGGATTGGTTCACCAAAGATAAAAATCTGCCGTTTCTGTTCATGATGTTGGCTTGGCTCAGTGCATGAGTAATAATAATCTGTTGCTAGGAACAGACTTCAGTTTACATGGAGAGGCCTCTATGGAGGGCAGGTCTTTGAGTCCCTGAGTGGGTCATAAATAATCAGTGGCACTTCAAAGGAGGAAAAGTAAAAACAAGCGGTTGGAGATGCCATGAAAAGATGTCTGCAGTTCCTATTGCAACACCAGTGGAAAGCATGTAGCCAACGTAATTGGGAAACTATGGGGCATGGATCTCCGAAGGCAAAACCAATGAAGCAGGGATTTACTAACAGGGGTTTATAATATTCAGCTACCTCTAGCTCGGCCTGTTTACAAAGTATCTGCTGCTTTCAGCTTTTAGGAGTGCAAAACTGAGTTAATTTCACGGCGTGTGGTTTCTCAAGATTGGCTCCTGGGGAGGGCGGTGAGAGTACATCTGTGCAGGGACCTGCACAAGTTAGCTGTGAACTCCAGGGCTAAAAATGTTCTTAGCTGGGACAGTGTGGAAATCACAGCAACTAATTTGCCTTGCTTCCTAGACCCTCTGCACAGCTGCTTTGTAGAGGTGGCTTTAAATTAACTGATGGAATCCTGTTTTAGCTGTAGTTACAGGCATTGTTTTTTGAAGATGACAGTGGTTTAACTGTGCTGTGTAGCTGCTGGGTTTCCCATGTGATGGAAT